AAAAAAAAAAAAAAAATTCTCTAGTGTAGTAGTTATGGCATTTATATCTGATTCAGAGTTACTGGGTTCTGACTACCATATCTCAGCATGTTAATGAGTGTAACATTTAAAAGAAAAATGGATAAAAATAAAGGCAATCCCCAAATCAAAGATGAGCTCTCAGATATTCCCCAAACTTTCTACTTCTTCAACACCTTGGTTAATGAACTATCATTGTCCTTTTCCCTTGCTTCTGTGTGGTATATTTAAGAAGATGTGGAGAATAAGAAACAAACTTCATTCCACATTAAGAGTAATTCTCCCTTATTATCCTGTAGATATAATGGCCTTAGTGAATTGCAATAAGTAATTGTTTCAAAAGTAGATTAGCCATAATCTGAGTATGCCCATTAGACTAGGAACTTCATGGACTCTGGAAAAAAATTCACTTAAATTTTGGTAACTTATACCAGAATGAATTTGATAATATGCAGATACACGGCAGTGCAATGCATGCAAAGTTTTATGTGTGTTAATATGAACTGTTTCTTTTTTATTTCAGTAGCTTTTTGTTTGTTATTTTGATGTTTTATGGGGCCACAATTTTGTGGCCCATGGTAAAAGTACAGGGAAGAGTGCATGCCTTTGAAACCCAGTACTGTATTAGTATTCTTCTTGAAATTAAAAAATAATAATAATAATAATAATAAAGATTGTTCTTTGTTAATAACCAAAGTTATTAACCAAAGTTCACATGAGTCTTTCTTCCTTGTGCTTGACCATTTCCTACATAACAGTGAAAAGGATTTCTCTTCATGCTTTAAGGCCCTAAGTAATGTACTAATGGTTCTTACTTCAATTCTGCTGGAGTCAGAGTATAGCTTCAAATAACTTTTTGTCATAAAATTGTAATTTAACAAGAATCTGTCACAAACTTTTACATATAGTTTATTTACCTCTGGAGATACATTTTTATCTCATGGTCTGAAATTTTCCATGTGTGCATATGCATATGTATATCTACATATGCACATATTTATATATATACATACACTTAAAGATGATCCAGATGAAATCCCAGAAACTGGTGTAAAATAAACTTTAAAAACATGAATTTTTGGGCCCCTTTCAATAATCTACACTCTAAACAATTGACCTTAGAGTTAACAATTGTCTTCCATAAGCCGTGTTCTTATCAAACAATGAAATTATTCTTCCAAAACAATGTTATTTTAACAGAAAATTATACTTTCATGGATTACAACTTGTAAAAAGATTATCTGCTTTATGTCAAGTTGTATCATGCAATATTCAACTAAAAGTGAAAAATATCTTCATCCCTGTATCTACTCTCTGTCATTTCAAAAACCAGAACCATGTGAGTTGCTAACCTGTTTCTGGATCCACTGAGAAATATGGCTGTCCCTGAAGAATACTGTACACCACTTTGGCACTATTTCCGTAGTTGGCATCATCAGCATCTGTGGCTGTCACTTGAATAACAGATGTACCTAAATGGGCACCAAACAAGGAATTAAAGAATTCTAAGAAGGCACACATTTCTTAGAAATCATATATAGTATTTTCAGTACTGGATTCAGTAAAAAGTCAACATCTGATAGATAAATCCAGTATTATCATCCTCAGGCAAAAAGTAAAATAAGTCATACCTTCCCTGTGACTAAAACTAAAATCAGTATCACTTAAACTCCATGATTCAAATAAACATAAGAAATTTACAGGGAATGGCACATGCCAAAAACATGAAAGCACTATTTTTTTTCTTGAAATGAAATAGTTTTTAAGGTAGTCTTTTGGTGTACATGGCCTCAGTAGAGACTGTACACTTAAAAACTAGGTATCTACTATGTGAAAAATACTATTATGACTTTCAAGTTTGGCTTAAAAAATACACTAACTTGATTTTCTGTTTAGAAGACAACCTCAAAATATCTGAAGTCAAACTTAAAAAAATATTCTGTCTCAATCTAATTTTTAAAATGATTTTGTAAAAATTAGTTACGTTTTGCAAAAACATATGATGATGCATTTTTTTCATCCTTATTAAAATTATCCAGCTATCTTGCAAATAATTTCTGTTAAACCATAACTACATTTTTTAAAATAAATATTTATTTTGAATGAAATTTTTTTCCTGAGGTCCTCTGATCACAATGAGAGCATAGGCTATTGAGATTTAAAAAACAAAAAACAAAAAAACAAAAACAAAAACAAAACAAAAAAAAAACTTAGGCAATTCATTGTGTGTAATTCATGGTTTACAAGCAAATGAAAGCTTTTGTAAATCCCTATACAATAACAGTTAAAATATATTTTTAAATATTATATATATATATAAAAATCTTCTCTCAAGCTTTTATTTCTAAGCACTTTGAAAATTGCTTGAAAAATATCAGGATGTATTTTGCTAACCTAATCTGGAGCTGACAAATTTCTGCATAAAAGCAGGCAGTCTAACAGCTAAAACTGTAAAGATCTTTAACTTCTTAACAAGGGCTGACTGAGAAAAAGCTCT